CATAATTTGGTGTTGTCCGTGAACTTGGCCAGCGACCTTTTCACTCCCCCATCTAAATCATTGATAAAGATGTTGATAAGCATGGGTCCAAGTACACTCCCCTGAGGGACACCACTGGCCACTTTGCTCCAGAACGACACAGATCTGTTTATGAGATCTCTCTGGGTCCTACCGCGTAGCCATTTTCCCACCCACTGAACCATCCAGCAGCTGAGCCCACAGTCTTCCAGTTTTCCCACAAGGATATCATGGGATACGAGATCAAAAGCCTTTTGGAAATCTAGGTATATAACTTCTACCTTGTTTCTTATGTCCAGGTGGTAAGAGACCTGGTCTCAGAGGGAGATGAGATTGGGTTCATTGGATTCAAAGGCAACAGTTACAGATGATGAAGCCATTGATAAAGCAAAGCTGCGAAACAGTGCCATCTTGTGTCAATTCTGTGTAAAACATTGGGTAGATTCTCTGGGGGGAAATGAGTTGGGTTTTTTTTACTTATTGCAATGTTCTTATTTACTAAAATTTAAAAGTTAATAATAGGAAGGATTATGTTTGATTCACCTAACATGCTGATTTGGCTGCTTCTTTTAATCACCACAGAACTCCACAATTTTTTTTTTTATTGGCTTAAAGAATAAGAATTTTTGTTCTTTTCCACTACAAATTTAATTTTTTCAAATGAATCTTGAGTAAAAGCCTCAAAATATAGGCTATAGTTTTCAGCCTGAGTAGGGACATTGGCCAGGTATGAACCTCACACGTTTACCATTATAAGGGCATTTTTAAACATGGGGTGGGCAGTGCTTTAATTACAGCAGCTTTAGTAAAAGCACCCCTGCTGCCATTTTGAAGCACAGGGTTGCTGATATATGACATATGGGAGGTTGCTGGAGCATGGTAATTACCGCACTGCAGCAGACTCAATTAATAGATTACAGTGTGTGTAATCACAGCCACTGCACTCCTGTACAGGTACCCAAAGTGATTAGAAATTGAACTATACTCATAACAGAGCAGAAGTTCAGTATGCATAGACTGGTGTAAAAATGGTGGAACCCAGTCTAAAATTCTCCTCCCCCCGACCTCCCCCAAGAAAAGGTGCATAACTGCATAACTTCGACTGACTCTGGGCTCTCTGAATGCCTGTACCTAGCCCATGTATACACTGCAGCTTCAGCTGTTCCCATGCCTTTTTTCTCCAAAAAAGTGACAATAAAACTTCATTAAAAAACAAATGTGTGGGGAAATTACTTCTGATACTAGGGGTGAACATAAACTGTTTGGCATCTGCTACATATTTTTGTATTTCCCTCTTGTGTTTTTTATAGCTGTGCTGTTCATTTTGGATGGGAGAGCAGCTGCAATCCTGCCCTTATATTATTGATATATGGCAGTGATTATGATGATGTCTTGAGGCTTCAGCCAATTTTTCCCAAACTAAACACATATATTAGAAATTCTCTGCTTTAGAAAGTTTACGGTTCGAAAGACAACAACAGGCTACAGTGAACACAGGGAGGAAAGCACAGGGTAACAGTAAGATCATAAGCATTAGAGAAGGATGGGGAAAGTAATTCTGTTTTACAGAAGATTCTGATATTTTTAGTTCTGATTTTCTCAGACCCAAAATGACAGCAACATTTTTTACAATCCTCTGCAAAATGGAATGGAGCAGCAGCCTTTGGAAGTCACATGGGTTTCTGACTCCAAGACAGATTGACTGGTAGGCTGCCCTGAGCTTGTGAAGCTGTTGGGAAGTTCTGTGTCTCAGTCTATCTTATTTCATAGTTTCATATTTCATAGACATTAGGGCTGGAAGGGACCTCGGAGATCGAGTCCAGCCCCCCGCCCAAAGGGCAGGAAGTCAGCTGGGGTCATAGGATCCCAGCAACATAAGCATCCAATTTGCTTTTGACGGTGTTCAATGTAGGTGCTTGAACCACCTCCGATGGCAGGCTGTTCCAGACCTTGGGGGCTTGGACAGTAAAGAAATTCTTCCTTATGTCCAGCCTGAAATGGTCTTGTAGTAGTTTATGACCGTTTGACCTCGTCATCCCTTGGGGTGCTCTGGTTAACAAACATTCATCCAGATACTGGTGGTCTTGAGGACTACCTTGCCATAGGAGGTGCTAAGAGGTTGAGAGTCATTTCCAGATTCTTGGCTCCATGTCAGATTACCAGGTGAGGAATGTGAGCCAGCCATTTTTTGATGAAAGGCCAGCTGAAATTCGTTAACAAATGAACCATCTGTGTGGAATGCTTTGATTTCAATGAATTGATAAATCCCTATGGGAAATTGCTTTGTTAGAATTTTTATGACTAGTTCAGAAGTAGCCTCCTGGTATCCCATCTGCTTGTAACTTTTTGTGTAGGAAAGCTGGGAAAAATGCCTTTTAGAATTTTTTTTCTGTATGTGGGACCTAAAATGTGCTATGAACAAAGTGAAAATGCACTACTGTGTTCTCTATTTGTATACCCATTGGATAACTGCATAATTTGCTTAACTATAATGAAGAATTGAAGTTATGTTAGATATTAAATGGTCAACAAACTTTTATGTATTAATTTCACTGCTTAGAATGCTTGCCAATTGTTAATCTGCACATAAACCACTGGAAGATTTTATGGGTAAACAGCTGAAAAACAATTTTCTCTTCTGACACTGATCTGTATCTCTAGACAAAAAGCAAAATAATTTTTGTTAGCTAGCAGAAAAGTTTATCATTGAAGACTATGTTATAAATCCTTTCCCAAGAGACAAATTATTATTTCACTGGATAGCATTATTTTCCTTAATAACTTCATGAAAACATCCTTTGAGTTAGTTACTTGGTTCTTGAAATTAATTACATGCATCCTTGAATGGTGGAGGTTTTTATAACATGGAAAGCAAAAAAAGCTTTTAAAAAATCTATCCTGTTCTTTTTGTGTATTAATTATGTGTGGAGGAACAAAATATTGTTTTATTTTCCTTATCATTATTACAGTGATATCTATTAGATTTGAATTACAGCTTGGTCAGTTACAACTGTGGCAGAAGTTGTGGTCAGCATCAGATCAGTTTCACTTATTGCTTGGCCCATAAAGAAACCATTTTTCAAAGATTGCAATCCTGCAAGGGGATAAAAACTTTCAATCTTTGTGACAAGTAAGCAAGTCAGGGAGTTCTGACCAGGGGTTCTAGTCCTGGGCACCAGCTTCGGGGGGAGGGCACAAAAATAGCAGCCCTCCTATCTGCTGTGTCACCTGCCACAGCTTTCCCATGCACCAGCATCCAAGGGCCAAGAACTGCCCAGTTACATTTCTGCCTTTTGATGATGCTGTTGGGGGTTCAGTGTAGTAAACACCTCCATGAAGTAAATTGCCATCACACAATATCCCCAGTATATACTATAGAAAGAGTGTGTGTTTAGCCCTCACTACACATTCAGGTAATGGTGCCATGAGATCTAACACAAGATCTACACAGTTGCGCCTCCTGCCATACCACACATGCATGGCAGGAGGCATGATTGTGGGATCACACATTAGATCTTATTATTGCATGTGTTGGGGGAGCCTGACCCTGCACAGGTAAGAGGCGAGCTCCTGCAGCTGGGAGCCTCCTCGGTTGAGGGGCTTCCAGCTTTGGGGGCGCCCTACACACCCTTGGGCCTGGGAGATCATTGCTGCTGTGATCCCCAAGGCTCAGGCATTGGTGATGCGTAGGGGGTGCACACAGGTGCACATGCACCCCCTGAGATTGGCAGTGCATGTCCGGAGAAAAGCACTGCTGCCACTGCTGGTGGCACCTGCAGGCGGTCACCGCTCACCACCACCCCGCCACCCCTGCCGCTGACACCACGGCGGCCACTTGCGGGAGCTCCCTGCTCACTGCTGCCACCGCCTGCGGGCAGTCACCGTGCCCTCCTCAGCCTCCAGAGGCACTCATTGTTCATGGGCTCAAGGATCCATAAAACCCCAGGCCTGGGGGATTGTGGCTGTTGGAGCTTTTATGGTGGGCATAATCAGCTGACAGGGCTCCAAGCTGCAGGGGACACCCTGCTACATGCAAATTAAAGCTAGATAGCAACCAGCTGTAAAGTTAGTACACATTTTCAAGGTCTAACTTTATAGCTGTTTGGAGCTTTGCAGCGAGTACTTAGCACGTGCCCTGGAGGCTGGGGGGGAAGGGGGCACGGCGACTGCCTGCAGGCAGTGGCAGTGGTGGTGGTGGCATGGCAGTGGCAAGCAGGGAGCTCCCACAGGCGGTCATGGTGGTGGCAGGGTGGGGTGGGGTGGCGAGCTCTGACCATTGGTCAGTGACCACCCGCAGACGCCGCTGGCAGTGTTGGTGGTGTTGGTGAGTGGCGACTGCCTGCAGGTGCCACCGGCAGCGTTGGCGGCGCTTCTTTCAGGGGGTGCACTGTCAATCTCAGGGGGTGGATGTGCACTCACATGCAGCCTCTACGTGTCCTCAATGCTCAGTTGTGAAAAATTAAAAAAGTGTTCACATGACCTCGAACAGATGTGGCTCACAATGTCACGTATGTGTTAGGTATATAGGTTGTAGCTGTGTTGGTCTAAGGACACAGACAAGGCTCTTTGGGTAAATCCAACATCATTTTTTCGACCAACTGAAATAGTTGGAAAAAACTATTTGCAAGCTCTCGGGGGAAAGCCTGCAAAGAAGAATTTTTCCAACTATTTCGGTTGGTCTAGTAAATTATAGCGGATTAACCGACACGCCATGTGGGCGCAAGGGCCGTGCCCGAGGCCAGCAGCAGCGCCCGCGGCAGCAGCGGCGCGGGACAGGGAAGGTCGCCCCGCTCTTCACTCCATTCCCCCAGGCCGAAGGGGGCGGGGCCCGGGCTAGTCTGAGGCCCCTGCGGGCGCCAGACCGGATCCTCAAAGGCCCATTGGGAGCGCACGGGCAAAAGAGAGGAAGTCCCTCCCCCTCCCCCACTGTCCTGTTCTCATTGGTCGAAATCCCTGGAGCCGCGGGCAGGGGTTGGTCTCTGTTGCTATCACTCCGGTCTGTAGCGCCAAGAGGCCGATGCGGGACGTCGGGAGACTACGGGTTGTGTGTGCTGTTGCCTCTCTCCGTTTCGCGGCCGCGATGTTCGCCAAGTGAGGCCCGCCGCGGGGAGGAGGGAGCCGCCGGCCTTTCGCGGGGGCGGGGCATTGTGTTCCTTAGCCTTGCCCTTGGCCAGGCCGGGCGCACCAAACTCCTTCGCCCTGCGGGCTGATGCGGGGTCGTGCGGGCCGGGCAGGGCCCGTGCTCCGGCTCCTGCAGCACGTGGCGGGCGGGGCTTGCGCCAGCACCGGGAGCTGCGTCCCGCCTGGGCCCCATTCGGACCAGCTGCGCGGGGACCCAGCGCGCGGTTCTCGAGCCCCAGGCGCTGGGTGATGTGGCTCCGGGGCCGTATCTTTGGGCAGGTGTCAGCCATCTCTGCACGGCACAAACCAGAGCCCGTGCAGACCAAGCCCCGCTAAAGCTGTAGCGCAGTCACAGGGACTGAGGGGCACGTACGGAAATGGAGGTGCTGGGAGGCAGCTGCAGGATGACCTCGCAAGTTGTTGCAGTGCGGGAGTGGCACTGAAGGCATAGTGATGGTCTGGTTAATATGGGAGATGCCATGGCTTTCATGGGTGATGGTGTTTTGTTGGGCCCACTATGCAGTTGGTCCAGTAAAAGATAGCACCACCCACAAAAATTCTTGCCTCTTACAGAGCCTCTTTGGCTGTTTCGCAGTTCCCACAAACAGCATGAAACCTTTATTTCCACACCTGTCATATACAAGCACGTTAAAGCAAATCTTAGGGTTTAACAAATTCTGCTGGGCCAGGCGTGAGTTGAAAGACTTGTAAGTAAGGTTGGAAAAATGGTTCATATTTCCTCATGCTTTCCGGCCTTGATGAAGGTGGGAGAATAAGAGGGCAGTGATATTCAGGAGCAGCATTCTGTGATGGCCCGTGCTCCTTTATTTCCAGCTCCCTTTAGAAAATGAGGCACAGGTGGTCTTGTGTCAATGTACAGTAACTATCTTTTTTAGGGGGTTCTCATTTGCATATTTGAAAAGCATGTAAAAACCTTGGATTGCCCCCTCCTTTCAGAATATTGGGTGGGAAGACTTATTTTTGGAATGGCTTCGCTCTTTTCCCTCCTCCTCCCTCTAGTTACAGCAGGGAGAAGAATAGAGTCATTTTGTTTTCTTACAACTTTTCTGTGGTTGCTGTAAGAAAAGCCATTATTTTCCCTGTTGTGGAACACATTGGAGTTTTCTCCCTTTCCTTTCTGCCTCTGTCTGGAGACTTTTTCTTCCTTTATTCTTCTGGTGTTTCTATAAAGCAGGCATAGAAAGAAAATGAAATCTTATCACCGGTTTCCTTCTGTGTAATAAATTCTAAAATGCAGATGCAGTACTGACCCCCTGGTCTTGTAGTCAGCTGAAAACTGCATTCTCTCAAGGAGCAGTGCCCAATCTTTTCATCCCATGGGTTGGATGGGCAGTGTCAGGTTCATCTACAGGCTGGATCTGTCACATGGGGTGGGGATGAGGGGGGATGTGATCCCATGTGCCAGATATCTGGGCCTGCTAAGGGCTGCACAGGGCGGGCCCAGCCAGAGCCTGAAACGGGCTGTGTGGCAATGGCCTTGGCCTGAACCGGATGCATAGGGCTAAGAAACCTGGCAGTGGAGCAGGGGTGCCACTGCTTTCCTGCCAACAAATTTTACCAACTTGCGTGTACCCCTGTGGGCTGGATGCCAGGGCTTGTTAGGCTGAATTTGGCTCACAGGCTGGGGATTGAGGAAAAATTACAGGTAACTTAGTCCTCTGATGCTCTTGAGGTAAGATTTAATTTAACTCAGCAGCTGTTTGAAACTGGTCAGGATCCTGTAGATTTTCTGCTGTGGCACGTGCTTACTCTAATACAAGCCTGAATGCCTTACAGCATTGCCTGTTGCTGTACCTGTGTTTGAAAACTGTGGTTTAGTTGTGTTGTCAAATCTCTTTTACTGTTTATTGTGTGAAACTGATGTAAAACTAACTTTATGCCTGCCTTTTCTTTAAAGTATGTGCAACCTATGTGAAAATAGTGAGGTAAAACAATGTGAAACTGAATTTGTAAGTGTTATTTTACTGTAAAAGGGTAGAATTAGAGATGCTTATAAAATAAAAAATGGTAATAATTAAAATATTCACACTTGTGTTAAAACAATGTTGCTCAGCCTCTTGACCCCCAGAGGCCAGTCCATTGGCCAGTTTGGGCCCTGGGGCCAAGAGCTGCACCCTCTCTGTCCCATGTGCTGTGATTGGGTCTCTTGTACCTGGCATCATCTCTTGCATGCTGGGATTAGGACCCAAGTGTATGGCACCGCTCTTTCTGCCTCGTGTGTCAGTATTGGGCCCCAGGACCTGGCACTGCCCCCTACCAGCTCTGCCTGGGCTTCCTATGGGTTCAGAAATTAGGCAGCAGGTGACTGGCGCCACTGCTTTTCCACTGTCCAACTTCCAGATCTCTAGGGATCCCCAAAGGCCAGATGAAATGGGGCTTGCAGACTAGTTCTGTGCCATGGGCCAGGGGGTTGAGCCCCACTGTTTTAAAACATTATCAGGTAACTTTCATTGCATCCTCTTGCAGAAACTACGGTCCATCTACAGGCTATGGAGGAAATAGGACTTATTCCTGTTATTCTTCTGGTGATGTTGATTCTGCTCTTGGGTTTGAAGACTTTCTGTATACAGATGACACTTCAGGGACAGATGAGGAATTAGATTTGTTTGTCTTGTTTGGAAATCTGCGAGGAAATGTAGTTGGATTACGCTACTACACAGGAGTTGTAAGTACAGCGTGAATCATAAAATTGTATCATACTAAGTAGAGCCAGGTAAGAAAATGGAAGAAAAGCTATGGTAAACTGTAACACGTTATGTTTTATGGTATAAAAGCTTTCCAGAATTGTCTGACTGTTCCTAATATTAATATAAGTGGGGTTTCTTTCATTCATTTACTGTTATTTATGAGAACTTAAATATATAAATATGTTTGTAGCTACCGCTGATCCTGTTATGAATGTTTTATTGATGGTTTTGGTTAGAGGTGCACCAATATATTGGTGTCATATCAGATCAGCACAGATAAAAGGAAAATTAACACTAACGGCTATTGGCTTTTTTTTTGGCTGGTATAGCTGATAAAGTCACTGATAAATGCTGTGTGCATGCACACAGCCACAGCATACTTGCAGCCAAGAAAACAGCATGGCAGCTTAGAGACCAGTGCCCTGCAGGTAAGTTTGTGGAGGGTAGGGAGTGCAGGGAAGGGAAGGGGCATGGGGGGATCAGATCGAGGTCCCTCATGCTGAGGGAGAGAATGGGGGGAGAGAACGGCAGGGCTAGAGCAGGGCAGGCCCTATGCAGTCAGGACAGTGAATGAAACCCCAGGGCTAGGAACAGGATGGAGCTGTGGGGAAGGGCAGCTCTCCACTGCTGCGCATGCTCCCCAGGGGAGGCATGGGAGGGCATGTGCCTCCTCAGATTTGTGCACAGGGTGGATGCAGGTTGCCTGCTGTGGGCTCAGGGTTGTCTGCCCTGCTGCCTTTTTACCCCAGGAGCTGTGTGCTGGTTGCGTGACCCCTGCTTGTCCAGTGGCAGTGGGGGTGGTAAGTTGTTCCGGCAGCTGCTAGGTGGGCTGGGGAAGTGGCGCAGCCAGCACGCGGCTCCTGAGGCAAAAGGCAGCAGGGTGGAGAGCCCCAAGCCCACAGCAGGCAGCCTGCATTTACCTCCTGCAGAAATCTGACAAGCTTTAGTTCAAGTGTTGCTGCCCCCACTGCCATCTATGGCTCCAGTCCACTCCCTGCCCTGGCATCCCACTCACTGCCGTGGCTGGGCAGCAGCCCCAACTGCAGCCCCTGCCCCACTCCCTCACTGTGGGAGCCACTATCTGCCTCTTCCCCTCCACAGACTTACCTGCAAGGCGCTGTTCTCTACGCTGCCCGGTTGTGGTCCTGTATATCAGTACAGGATTGGATCAGTATCAGCTGATATGCTTGGTGAATAATTGGCTATTGGTATCGGCCAAGAAAATCTCTATTGATGCACCCCTAGTTTTGGTGGATGATGAAGGCTTTTTGTGATGTAGTGCCAAATGGATAGGAAATTGAATGGAAATTCACAAGACCTGGGTTCTGTATCTCTGGCTCCGAAGCAGAGCATACATGTACTTAAGTTTCTCTTGTGTGTGTGGGGGTGGGGAGTAAAGGAATATGCTTACATACCATTGCTATATAAAGAGCTTTAAAAATTGTAAATTAAAAGTTTAAAAAAATGCTAATATGCGTCTTCATTGGTCCAGTTAAGCATTTCTTATGACAAATAGATGGCTGAATAAATGTTTCTCTGTTCTTTAATCCTTTTTTCAGTAGATAGAAGGTGTTCTTGTTGCCTTGGCAAAATTTTGGGGAGCATTTGCAGCTACTGGCTTCCTTTTTTGTACTTTGTGTGCTATTCAGAATATGTAGCATGCTGTTAGAGTTAAGAAACAGCATATTCAACCAAAATAAACTGTAAAATGAATGCATGTAAGTATTTCTGTAAATAATTAGTAAGTGAACTAGTGGTCTCTTTTTTTTCTTTTGATAGGTTAACAATAATGAAATGGTTGCACTTCAGAGGGAGCCTAATAACCCTTACGATAAAAATGCAGTAAAAGTAAATAATGTGAATGGAGACCAGGTAGGACACATCAAAAAAGAACTGGCAGCACCCTTGGCATACATCATTGACAATAAACTAGCAAGAGTAGAAGGGTAAGTAGGTAGAATACCTTATTTAGTTTCATATTTATATTTAATATCAAGTAGAGTTCAAGGCATGGGAAATTGTATCCTTAGTGAGTAAATTTTGGCAGCTGGATATAAGGTCTTAGTATTAGATAACTGTACTATAAGGATAGAATTTAGATTTTAAAAGTGAGACTTGTGTTCCTTTTTTTAAATGAGGATTGTCCCTTATGGAGCAAAAAATGCCTTTACTATGCCCGTACAAATGAGTTTTTGGGGAAAAGAAGAAAATAAGCAAGCTGTTCTAGATCGACTGAAAATGCATGGCTTTAAAATGGCTCCTCCTCTAAAAGGTAAGTTTTTTGTTTTGGTTTTGGCTCTGCCTTTTAAAATATGTTTAAGTTTTTCAAAATGGCACTTGTTTGATAAAACTAAGCCCTTGACCATAATCCTAGTGAAATCAGTGGCAGACCTACTTTTATAATCATTTGTATGATCATTTGAGCAGCCCTGAATTGTTAAATTTCTAGTTCTTAGTAAATGTGTATTCATGCCCCAGCTGTGCTGTAACAGGTCAATACAGTCAGAGGCAAAAAATAGGATGTGATGGAGGCTTGTGACAAGGCAAGTTAAACATATTCTGTTCTCTTTCAGATTTCCTTAATCTTTTTGCTGTATCTACGATGATAGTTAGGGTCAGTCTTAAAATCACTATAAAATAAATACCTCCAAGCCACAGTAACCCCCTTAAGTCAGGCTGCAAGAGCAATCCAGATTCAGCCAGGAAGCTCTGCAGAACTTTCAGGGATGAGTTTCGAGCCTGTCCCAGTTTGCCTCCTAGACCTCGCCTTTTTAGGATTGTTTAGAACTTGACTGGGTGTGCAGTTTTTGAATGGTTACTTTCCTGCCCTCCCCTCTCCACCACTCCCACCCCTTTTTTTTTTTTTTTTTTTTTTCCCAACGGGAACATAGGTTCAGAACTTGGCTTTGGATCAAACTTGTTTTCTGGAAGAGCTGGCCCAAGCTATAGTGCTCCTGGTCATACTGCTGTGCAGATGACAACTGAACAGGTAGGGTTTTTGTAGTTACGGTGAAAATATTTAAAAGTTGTTGTTACTTCTTTTAGTAACAGATATTGTGTAATGCAATTGAAGTTTAATTTTTTTATCAAGTCCAAAGTGAGGTGTGTTTTTTTTTTAAATGCATTCCCTCCCCTTCCCCAACCATTT